CAACTTAAACTTCCAGGATAACATGCTTATGCCATATCCTTCACCTGAGAGATACGATGAGGCATTAAGAAGAGGAAGTAAGAAAGGTGGCGCTGGAGCTATAATTGATGAAATACCTTATATAAAGTTGTTCCTTGCTAAATATCCACGTGATTACGCCATGATTGACTCCCAAGAGACGACTAATGGCTTTGCTTTTGTAAGTGTTCTTCTTCCTTGAACAACAAGCGTGTTCCCTGCACCTCCCTTCCCCTTAAATTCATTTATTGAGAATAAGACATAGTTTGTTTTCGTCATTCAAAATCTGCCTTCTGTAAGGTTAAGGATACCATACATTAGGAATCACTGCTTATATACCTGGTCATGCCAGGCATAAAGCAAACACGAATGCTCAAGCCTGGAGGTTGCCTTTTAAAAATTAGAAATCTGAAGCTCATGTTCGTCATAATTGATCCGCTTTTCTGCTTCAATTACCTCCATAAGTGAGGACCGTTGACTACAGTCTTTGAACCTCTTACTAAGCCTGTATTTGAGCTCTATGCCTTTGCGTGCTAAGGCTTTCTTGGCTAGCCCGAGCATATCACCCTGATGAGCGCTATTGAGTGTCATCTATGGTTCATTTGAGAAGTGTGAATTAATTTCTTTAGAACTTCTCATCTTTTTAATAGGACATGCATCTGTTATCTCGTGTTGCAGGCTTTCCAAAAAGGTTCACCGTTGGTCCATGAAATGTCAAGAGCAATTGCCAGCCTCAGAGAAAAGGGAAAACTTCTGGAAATCGAAAAGAAATGGTTTCGAAGTCAATCAACATCGTTATCTCGTGACATTGAAACGAATACGAGCAGGCCTCTAGGCGTTAATAGGTTCTTTGGTCTATTTCTTATTAGTGGGATCTCTAAAGCCGTGGCTATTCTTCTATTTTTCATATTCTTACTTCATCAAAAACTGTCCAAATACTATATTTTCAGATGTTGTCGAGAAAAGAACTGATGTCAGTTTTCCAGAAATTTGTTTCCAATGGTTGCTTATATGATTTGTATTGAAGTTATTTGTGTTAGTGTAAGGGAATAAGCCCCAAGAACACGCGGAAGCAGACAATAATATTCCCCAAGAATACCGAGAACAATTTACACAAAGTAAAATCAATTGTTACTTGGGGCTCAGAATTCACAAATCATTGTACCCGTCTGTACAATATAGAAACGGCCTCAAAATACCCAAACCCTAAGACAATAAATCAAGAGGCTACTTCAATGGACCGATCGAACAAATCAATCTACAACTCAAAAATCCCCTTCAACCACTAAGACAATATCACAAAGATAATATTCACTAAGCACAATGATTAAAACCAAGTGTTTTAATCCCTCACAAAGAGCAAAACCAAAGAAGGAAGAAGTGAGAAGAACCCG